CTGAAATCAGAAATAACTATATTAGTACTTAATAAAAACCAACTGCTGAAAGTGCTAATCATATTCTTTTGCTACGTTTGAATATCCACATCCGATGCATTTTTTACCTCTCGAGTGTTTGATTATGCACATCGGACGCATTTGCATTAACTACATTTACGTATCTTGAATCACGTGATCAATGATCTCAGATTTATACGGGGGTTGATAAACAAACGCAGCATACGTATATGCGTTTTACTGCGCAGATTTTTTTAAATATATGATTAGTACATTCTATGAAAGTGCGATAAAAGATATGCTTTCGGAACATATTCTTTGTACATCCTTTAGCACACATGCATAGTTCATTCTTTAGAGGTACGAAAAAGAGGTGGCAATTTTTGCTTTAGCATATACAGATATGAATCAGTGACAATCAATGCAAAAACCCATTTTAAACGGAAACAAATCATTTTTTAGAAATTGATCAAGGGTACCTTTTTTAGTTTAAGGTTAAGCTATGTAAAATTATTATTGTTGTGTCCTTATCATAGTGTAAAACATATTAGCATTATTGTGTTAAAGCTAGTCCGTCCCAAATGTGTTTAAAATGTTGCATTTTACGGAGACTTATCTTATCCATTGTATTTAAAGATTATTAAATTATACCATACAAATTTAAAAAATAGTATATTGTTTCACGAGTGACGAAAAATGATTTTCGACGAGTAAAACACTATACTTTTTCTACGAACTCTATTATGTCATGTAGGTACCTACTAAAATAAAAAAAAAAAAACAAACGCTAGCAAATGCTTTATTTTGTGTTAGGAATAACAAAAATTTAACCTACAATTAAATATTTCAGAAATATTATTTATTATTTAAATATTGATTTATTGTTATATTTGAACAATTGTTCAAAATTATGGGGGTATCACACTCAAGCTTTTTATTTATTGAGGTAGATGCCGACATATTTGTTCTACTGTTAAATGTCATTTCAGATGATGATGCGCCATAATCGGATGAACTAGTAGTTTCCTTATTTTGTACAGATTGTAAAATTTTGGTTTGTATTTGGTTTTTACTGTTCGTGGATTCATCAACATATCCTTCCGCAACACTTCTAGATTTCCAACCACCGTGCTTTTTTAACAGAAGCAAGTCACCTCCTGCATCCACTAATAGCGTTGCGGATGTTCTGCGGAAACAGTGCTCAGTGTAATCTTGATGATTCGGAAGCGTTAAAAACTGAGCAATTTCGTTAGGAAATTTACTGATTTTATTAATTCCAACAACCTGTCTGCTACACTTTCCATTCTGATAGTTAATAAAGAATCTTGAATTAATTTGATCCATGTTTGCGGGACGTAGGCTCATATGTTTTTTAGAAATATCATAAAAGAGTCCAGAAATATGAAAAGAACGCGGAACTTTTGTTTTTGTATTACGGATTTAAACTAACAGAATACTTCCAGTATCCTTTATATCGCTTATTGTTAAATCTTTTAGTTCGTGGCAACGACAAGCGCCAGATAATCCAAAAACTAATGCTACCTACAAATATTAGTAGTTATGTATTAAGTATTTGTTAAAATAAAAATAATAATTCCGTTACCTTTGTTATTAAATATTTATAGTCAGGTGCATTCTTTAGGAAAGTCTTTATGTCTTCAGGCGAAAAAATTTTGGATTTTTGGATTTTAAAACCATCAGATTTTTTTTTCAAAAGCGAACGTAACTTTGGATATTTACTAATATCGACATCATTTTTAACAGAGAGTGTAGTTCTTAGCATCGAATAAATGGACCATAACGTCGACGGTTTAAAATTTGAACATATTTCTCCAAAGTATGCTAGTAGTACAGTTTCCGAAAATGATTTCACTTTATTTTTTTCTCTCCAGCCCAAAAATTTGATATAAATTTATTCATATCTCTTTTTTGATTTGGCCGGTAATAAATCTGAAGAGGTTTCTTCAGCTTTAAAAATAATTTCTGGGGGAGTACAATCGCTTTCTGACTCAGACATCACGAAAATGTGTTAAATTTAGGACGAACTGAAACTGACAGTTCTCAAAAGTGATAAAACTTCAAATAAACAAATGAAAACCAGGAAACTAGATGTAGATTGGTTTAATTTGCACTATTTTTATACATTTTTATTTTATCTTTAATTCATTAAAGTTTAGGTAAAAACGCATATAGAATTTAATGAGCATCTTTTTATTTCATTATTAATAATTATAAGCTGCCAAAATATTATACGAGGCGACTGATATATGAAAATATGTAACAACTTACTTTCGCCACTAGAGACGAAAGTAAACGTTATGGGATTTTTTCTCACTAGTGACGGAAATCAAGTTTTCGCTGAAAGTATCATGTGGCGAAAGATGTCTTTTTGTAAGAGTTCGTAGAAAAAATATATTTTTAGTAGTGTCCGTTATGAGACCATATCTACGAAAAGGGGGGGTCGTAGGAAAAAAAAATATAGGAAGTTGTCATGTTATTTTTATGTGTTCAATTTGAATCCGGAAGATTTCCTACAAATTCTGAGAATATTTATTGCTATATGTTTTTTAATACCTACGTTGTTTTTATTAGATCTTTTTTATTTTTTAAATATATTGTAATTATTTTTATTTTATGTTGTTCCGTGGTTTATTTTTTTGATCTGAATTTTAGTTTCGATTTTAGTTTAGTAAATTTGCTATTAATTTTTTTAATTTTTAAATATATCCCAGAAGATCTAGTCAGAATACGGCCCTGCTAAAAGGTCACTACCCCCTAACTTATGAGTTACCAATAGAAATAAATATGCATTTAGGTAGGTATATTATACTGTAATATACTAGGTGAGTTCGGGCTGCGCACTCCAGAGTGGAGTGGAGTAAGTAAGCGTAAACGGAGTGCGCATATGGTTTTACTCCTTTTACTCTCAGGGTTCAATGGGGTATATTCTGTAACAATTCCTTTATATTTAACGGCCTTTAAAAATATTGGCGGCCTATAAAAATATGTTCGTATTCGTTAATTTACTTCTATCGTTATTTAAACAGATTCCTTTAAGATAGTCCTCTAATTTATTTTAAAGATCCGTTTAAATAGTGACCGAATTAAAGAAGAAAATATTTTTAAAGGCCGTTAAATATAAAGGAATTTTTACAGAATAGACCCCAATGTCAGTTATCATTGTGACATACTAATACTTAAAAACTAATCGTACTTATCAGTAACAACTACTACTCTGAGGTAACAACGTTATAAGTTTATTCCATATTAATGGTATGCACGGGAACCAAATAAAAAGCATTTTTAATTAAGAGTTAGTCACAGTTATCCTATTATCGATTTAAATCACCTTATGCGAATGCCTGATCCACACTCCACTCCACGATCCCCGAACGGTCAAAAAGGAACTTTTATTTTAACTCCTTTCGTTCCCGAACGCTGTAGGTACTTTAGGAGTGAATAAAGTGAAAAGAGTGTGTAGCCCGAACTCACCTACTGTATCATGATATTGTCCTATGTCCATTGGCGGCGGAATAACTTTTATTGGGAGGGGGGGCTTTAAAAATGCCCTCTTCCATAAAATAAAAAACAATGTAAAGGGTGTTTATCTATGTATAATATTTTTGGACCTGGCCCTTCAATTGGACTGACAACATCGGTAGTGGCAAGGCCTAATTAAGGAATATTTCCTTGTGAAATTAAAAAAAGATGAGATGAAACAAGAAGCTGCAGACTTGCCAGAGAGCTTTTAAGTTATCCTGACAACACTACAGCGAACAAATACTAGACTAGACAGAATCTGCGCCTGATCACATGCATTCTGACTGGATATTTCCAACTACGGAAGCATCTCCATATCATGGGGCTGTCATAATCTGCGAACAAGAAGATGAGACCATCGAGCATATTCTCTACGATTGCCCGACGCTCTCATTTATTAGAAGATTTGTGTTCGGCGCGAATTGGCTAACACTGGCCGATATAAGAGCTCATTTTTAATCATTTGTCTTGTAATTTTAATTTATGCCTCTAAAAGTGGTATATCAATTTTAAAGAGTTGTGCATAATGATGAATGAAGGTGTTACCATCTTTAAAAGACATATTTCAAAAGCTATCGATACTTTTTGCAAATCTTTCTACAAATTGATAATTGATAGTCAGTAAAAATACAATTACCCTCCAATGCTCTTCGCCATTTGCCGCCAATATTGGTTCTTCATGTACTGCATATTTTTTTACTAAAATATTTGATACAGCCTGTGGAGTTTTTCTTTTTATCTCATACCTACTGGTTCAAGGCATAACTCATTATCCTCTGCAAATTTTACTACTTTACTATTTTATTATTCCTTTTATCTTTTAAAAGCAAAATAGTAGCAATTATTATTTGACTAGCCTTTCCCAACGTAGCATTATGATTTTGGAAAATTTTACTCAGGGGTTTGTGATGCTTAAAATGAAATGAAGTCCAAAAAGCAAACTTGAAAGTATACCCATCGCTTTAACTGAGTCGTGATTTGTATTTAAAAAAAAATTGAATTTTTTTTTATTGTTGATGATAGATTTACTTTGCTAGAGTGTAGTGAATTTAAAATTTGATGCGCTGATCAGATTTATCTTAATACCCTGGGGCTCGATTCTCGAGATCATTGGAAAATTTTCCCATGGGAAAATATTCCAATACTTATATTCCCATGGTAATAGGTTATGCAATTCTCGAACGTGTCGGAATAGACATTCCCATGGAAATAGTAGTTTCACGTATGTCTGATATTAAGTTCACGAATATTTCGAAACAACCAATAACATTAAAGATATTTTAAAATTTACTGTTGGCAATATTTGTATTTGTTGTGGTTTTTGGGCATCCGATTACCTGCCGAGCCTCCGCGCTGGAGCAGGTGCCGTGCCGAGCAATCGCTATCATGATCGAGGAATAAGTGAAAATATTCGATTACGTATAATAATTAAAACTTGTCGAGTTATTCTTAGTTTTTCT